GGCCGCCATAACCGCTTCGATTGTTTGTGCGGTCCAAGACAGGAGGTGGCCGCCATAACCGCCGAAGCTCGGACACAGGGTTACCAAGTAGGAAGAAGGTGAAGTAAAGGAGAAGGGAGGAGAGACGAAGGAAGAAAGAGAAGCCATAGCTGAGGAAGAGGAAGGAGGGACGACAAAGGAGAAAGGAGCCATAGTCGGGGTGAAGGAGAAAGAAAGTGAGAAAGAAGAAAGGAGGGGAAAAGAGAAGTGAAGGTTGAAGGAAGGGGAAGGGTCGGCAACCATAGCCAAGTTGGATATTGACCAAGGCGTTGACCAGGGTTGACCAAGGTGTTGACCAGGTGTTGACCGAGGTGTTGACCGAGGCGTTGACTGAGGGGTTGACCAAGTGTTGACTAAGGCGTTGACCGGGGCTGTTGACCACGAGTTTGACCAAGCTGGAGTTGGTATATTCTCGCCAAGCCTTTAGCCTATTCCCTCGCCCTATGGATGTGCAGTCACCCCATGGTACTTGTTGAGTCTGTCTGTCTCTTCTTTCTGCATTGGGTCTCTTCTGTCTAGGTGTTAGGAACTTTGTGTATGAGGATGTAGAGCTTTGTTGACCAAACCCACACGGGCTGAGTAGGGCTAAAGGCCGTGTCTGACGACTGACTGATTGACCCGGAGGACACGAACTCTCCCAAGGACTAGTACAAACCGGCGGGATGCCCAATGTGGCATGGTAGGCCCAAAATCCGAGTTGTGGGCTGAGGACTTGCTGATCGCGTCGTCCTATTTGCGACGTTAAATAACTCCTGAGGAGTTACGGGGGATCTCCTTAAATGCCTCCTGATCAGCGTTGAAGTCCTGTAGTGACAACTTAGAAGTAGGTCCAGGCTAGTGACCATAGTTGACAAGGTTCTGAACCAGAGAGACAGTCGGCTGGGATTGATCGCAGGTGCTGGGCATCTGGGTCTGGATTGTAAAGGACAGTGGTGTCGTCGGCCGTGGTAACCTGGCTGGATCGAAGGGTAAGACTCTTTGGTCCTTAGACAGTCAGTCAGTCAGTCGAGTGGGTAGGTTTGTCGTGCACCGGACACCATGGATGACTACCCTATGTACGGTCTGCTCGTTGGGTTCTCCCTCAGGGGGACCCTCTGACGTCTCCTCTTTCCCTTGGGATTTTGGAACACTTTCACGTGTAGACTAGAGACAAGGGGTGGCGTTAGTACCACTCCCTACACCAAGGAGCAGGAGGAGGAGGCTGAGAGAATCCTGGCTGAGCAGAAGGCCAAGAAGGAGAAGAAGGAGGTTGTAAAGCAGGCTAAGAAGTTGGCCTTATTGCAGGAGCAGGCCGCGAAAAAGAAGAAGTTGGAGGAAGAGTTAGAGAGGTTGAAAAAGGAAGAGGAAGAAAAGGTGAAAGCGGTGGAGGTAGAAGAAGAAGAAGAAGAGAAAAAGGGGGAAGAAGAAGTACCCCTGATTCGAAGAAGTATCAGGGAAAGAGCAGAGTCAAGTGGTACGAAGAAGGGGGATTCCTGGCTGGAGAAGAAGGTCTTTGAATGGGTTGCTAGACTTTCTCTAGGAGAAGAGGAGGGGGCGATGTTGTATGTTCCCAGGGAAGAACAGGAGGCGGTTGTTAAGGAGTTAGAAGCCGAGGAAGATCCTCTCAAACGACAGACAATAGAGGAGGGGAAAAAGTTGTTATGGAAGCCGTGTCTAACCAGGGAAAGGAAGAAGAGGATGGAGGCGGCAAGTAAGGCGGCAAAAGAACTAGAGGAGGTGAAACAACTAAGGGTGCAGATGGAGGCACAGGCGGGTTGGCAGGGAGAAATGGAAGTGATGGCGAGAAACATAGAACGCCTGGCGCAGGCTCAGGAGGAGCAGTACCAATTTGGAAGGAGTCAGGATATAGCCGTGTGATCGATACAATTGGGGTTTCAGGAGTTCGCACACGAAATGTTAATGCACGTGGGCTCAGAAGTACAGACGAGGTTAGAGGGCACAAAGCGATTCTGCACAAGTGCCATAGAAGGCGCAAAGTTGCCTGCACCAAGAGAGGAAGAAGCTCGTCCCCTAGGGATCCTGTTAAAGTGAAGTTCCCTGATTCCTACAGTGGGAAGAGGGAAGAGAACTTCGATAACTGGGAGGCAAATGTGAACTCCTACGTGCATCTTCAAAAGATATCTCCCGACGAACATGTTCTCATAGCCTTCCATGCGCTCAGGGACGAAGCAACGACCCTCGCCCGGTCGCTTTGTCGCGCCACTAAGTGCAATAACGATATGGTTGCCTATTCTGCAATCACCCTTCGCAGTGAGTTTTTCAAGTTGTTGCATGAAAGGTTTGCAGATGTCACACGAAGCGTTAGAGCTTCTGACAAACTGCAAACGATTCATTCCCGCCATTGGAGGAGTGTTAGAGCACTCAACGGCGTTATGGATAAGTTGGTCGCCGTCCCTGACCATGGGGTAACCGAGACCCAGTAGGTCAACTTGTTTTACCGTGCCAGGCCCGAGCGTTGTGCGGCACTTCTTTGAGAAGAGTAGAGAGTCTACCATGACCTACGATACTTTGAGTAGGGAAGTGGTGGTGTTTGAAGCGCAATCCATGTCATTTTCCACTTTCTGGCATAAGGACCTTGATAAAAGAAGAAGTGGAAAGGCCGTACCATCTCGAGTCAGGTTAAGGGCAAAGATCACCTGATCCTTACATTAGATGAGGGTGGTATGGAACAGGTCCCCTATGAGCAGATAGAGTGAGGCCTAGAGGAAGAAGATAGTGGCGATAGTTAGGGTAGGACTTACGTCGCTCTCGTGGCTGGGGGGAGGCCGCAGGGTAGAGGAGAACCCCGGGGCCAAAAGGGCCAGGCTTCCAATGGTCGAGGACAGGGCGATCATGGGGTTGGTGGTAAAGGAGGCGGCCAAGCGGGAGGCAGAGGTCAAGGTCCCCCGCAAAACCGCTCTAGTTTCAATCGATCACCTAGGAGGGGTGGATGGCACCCTGGTCTGCCACAGGGCAGGCCTTGGGAAGATTTATGTGGCAAAGGTGAATAGACCAGGATCAGTGCATTTATTGCGGTGATCCGGGCCATATCATAAAGTATTGCCCCAAATATAGAGAAGCCCGGTTTGCTGCACAGGCAACAAAAGGCAACTGTCGGTAGGGGTTGCAACTGCCCCTATCCCTAAACCATGTGGAGAAGAGTGCGCGCACCATATAGAAACTCCCAAACCACATGTGCCTATGGCAACGGTTGCTGGCCAGTGCCTAGCTAGCTGTCCAGAGACTGCTGGTGTTAGAGTCTCGCTAGGCACTTCCCTCACAGGCGTGGCAGAAGAGTTGAAGGAGAGGATGCCTGCCTGGGCCAAGATGAAGGAGGAGGCAAAATGATAGCTAGTCTTAGTAGATGTAGAGGTCTTTAGAGGAAGAGTAGGGGCCCTTATAGACAGTGGGCTGGAGAAACTAAAGTTAAATCTGAAGGTCCAAAAGTTAAGAAGACCCCGTGGTTAGTATCCTCACAGACAATCGCACTATGCGAGTATTACATTGAGGGAGTCCCGACGTACTTTCACCTAGAGAAGGATGGGAAGGTGGAGAAGGTTCTCCATCCCCTGACTCTCCTCGTAGAGGATAGCCTTCCTTTCGACATGGTCCTAGGAATGGACTGGGGAGAGGCAGCAGGGGTCACACTCCACTTGAGAGAGCACGAGTGTAGGCTCCCTAGTCCACCAGGCGAAGTAAAGAATGCTCGCTTGTTTCATGTGTCAAGAGTAGACAACTCTCTAGCACATTGCTGTCTCAGTGCTCCTGCGTTCCCGCGTTTGGTAAAGAAGGAGCAATTAGAATAGTAGGTTTTTGTAGCCTATGTTAGGCCTGTCACTGAGCCTAAAGAAGAGAAACCCATAGATCATGCTATTGCCAAGCTGTTGGAGGAGTCTACAGATTTAGCTCAGCCGCCTGCAGAAGTAGTGTCGGGCCGATCCAACGTCGCATCGAGATAGAGTCTGGCAATAAGACTCCTTAGGGAGCCATCTGCAGAATGTCCCCAACGGAGTTAGAGGAGCTCCGCAAGCAGTTGGATGAGCTCCTCGAGAAGGGTTGGATTAGGCCCAGTTCATCCCCATTTGGAGCCCCTGTTCTTTTCGTCCCCAAAAAGGAGGGAGATGTTACGGACTCAGCCAGGGCTCGTTCCCTGGTCCGCGAGGTACCCACTCGCCAGCCAGCTACTTTATTTTTTTTTATTTCCTGCTCTTCGGTTTCTAACTGTTGGCGTCCTCTGTAGTTGGCCCCCGTTTTCAAATCCCTCCTTTGGCACTTTCGGATTCGACACTTGGCGCCATCCGACATTCTGGCGCCCAGACTCGAACTTTCGATTCTCAGTTCAGTCCTGAGGCAATGGCACGTCTGCCCTCCGGGCTGAACTTGAGTCTGGTACTTAAGACCGGACTGAAGCCCAGTACGAGCATTCATTTTTCGGCCTCAGTGCTTGTGCTTCAGTGTGACTTGCTTCGACATTGTGTTCGGGAATCGAAGACTGCGACTTTGCGACTTCACCACTTCGTGTATGTGTTCGTCGAGTCTTGTCGAGTCTGCGCCGAGTTGAGTGAGTGTGTGTGTGTGCTCTCACCCTCTCCTCTCTCTCCCTCAGCCTCACTACTCTGCCTCTGCCTCTGCCTCGTCACACTGGTATCGGAGCGGCTTCGGCCCTCCCTCCCGCCCTGTTCCATCATTGTCGCCGTCGTTGCCACATCATCGTCGTCGCCATCGACCTTGTCGCCGTCGTTGCCACATCATCGCCATCGTCGTCATCTTCGTCGTCGTCATCGCTGCAACTTCAGCGCCTCGTACCTGCCGTCGTCGCCATTGCCATGTCAGCACCTCGCTGCCTCCCTCGTCGCTGCTGCAACGCCACCGATCTTGAAGCCGACGTGCGGGTAAGTGACCAATAAACTTTCTTTTTTTCCTCCTCCCCCGTCATTTCTTCTTCTTCTTTCCCTTGTCGTCGTCCTCATCGTTTCCTTTCCTCCTTCTTCCTCCTCCTCCTTTCCTCCCTCGACTCTTGTTCTTTCTCGTCCTCTTCAACCCTCCTTCCCCCCCGTTCTTCTTCCTTCTCCTCGTCGTCGTCGTCATTCCTCCATCTTCGTCTTCTTCTTCCTCGTCTTAATTCCCCCTTCCTCCTACGCGCCATCTCCACCTCTCTTCCCTCTCGCTATTCCCCCCCGCTGCCTACCCAATCCCACTCTCCGCCCTCCCGCAACTTCGCGATCCCCCACACGGAACCCCCCAGCCCTTCCCAACTCCGATTCCCCGACCCCGATTCCCCGCACGATCCCCTGACTCCCGACCCCCTCGCTATCTTCTTCTCCCCCCAGCGCGATCCTTTTGCCTCCCTCCCCCATTTCTTCCTATCTCCCCGATCTCGAGCCTGCTTCCCCCACCTTCGTCCTGTCTCCCCGATCCCGACCCCATTCCTGCTTCCCCCACCTTCTTCCCACCTCCCGCGCGATACCACGTGCACCTCTATCCCCGCACGCCGCTACCTCTAGCCCACGCGCTTCTTCCCTCGCGCGATCTTTCCCCCTCCTTCCTCCCTCCCACGCGCAACCCGCACGCGACTTCCCCCCCCCCCACGTTTCCCCCCTACCATCATCATCATCATCATAATCTACCCGTACCACGCTACCACCCATTCAATCAGAGATAGGATCGCTCCGCCCTTGATTTACATCAGAACTCATTTATTCCTTTATTTATTATTATTATTATTTTTTTTTTAGAATTCATTTTCAAATTTTTGGAAATTCGAAAATACTTAATCAACTATCTCGACATTTCTTTCTCAAAAATACTTTCTTTTTCGAAATTTTTGAAAATACATAGGAGTAAGCATTCTTTCTCAGCATTTCATCTTCGAAATTCGAAAATCATTTTAATTAATTCCTTTTCAAAATTCTTATAATTCAAAAATATTCTAGAATTAATTTTTTTCGTTCAAATTAATTAATTATTTTTCGAAAGTTTTGAAAATATGTTAGAATTAATTAAAGTATTTTTCGATATTTCTTTTGGGAATTCGAAGATAATTCTAATTAATTATTTTTCTCAGTACTTTCATTCATATATTCCTTTTTGCAATTTTTGTTGAAATTCAAAAGATTCTTTTTCGCAATTCTTTTTTGGAATTCTTTTTCCAAAAGTACGTCCTCTTTTTTTTTTTCTCTGAACTCCTTAATTAATTTTGACTAAACTCGATTAATTCACAACTGAATTAATCTCTTTTACTCGGAATTAATCACCCCTTTTCGAAATTATACAATTTTACCCCGAACACAAATTCGAATAAATTTCGTCAGAATTTATTTCTCTCGGAATTAGTTATTCTTTTATTTTTCATTTGGAAATTCCTGAAAATTTCGCTTTTGTATATTCTTGAAAAATACACTCTCGAATTAGTTTCGAATAAACTCAAATTAATTTATTCAAAATTAATTCTTGCTCTGCGATTCTCTGCTACCTTGATTGCTAAATCACTTGACGATGCTCTATTCTTGTAAATAGGAATTGTCCCCCCCATCTCCACATGCCACCATGCCAAACCAAGACCTCCCAACGTGCCGCCGTCGACGCCGCTATCGCTATCACATCCGCTGCTACCGCCTCCACTTCCGCTTCGGCCACGTCATCCACCCCCTCTTCCCCCACCATGGCCTAATCTTCCATCAACATGTCTGATCTTCGTTCCAACTCCGTCAACAGCATTGCCCGCAAACTCGGAGGCGATCAGCCAACTTCGACCACCACCACCCCGGAACTCGCAACTATCCTCCAAACGTTGACCGCCCTCAAATCCCCCCTCGCCACTATCAACACCACCATGGCCGCCATCTCCAATCGTATGACCACACTCGAGGGAAAGTCCCCGCCCTCACGGTCGTCACGACGACAACACCCCCCTCCTCCACACCCCAACCCACCCCCTCCTCCGAACAAGCCTCCGCTTCAACCTCCACACCAACATCGTCCAC